ATTCGATCCCTTTGGGAATTTTATTGGATTAGTACTGGTAGGAGATTAGGGACTTTAAGATGCAGGCTCTACTACGGCGACCGGAAGTCTACAGTTTCAACTTGTCGGACTGCGCATTTCTAAGGCGGGAATTCACGCCGAACTCTTGCCATCTGCTACGGCATAATCACTTCGTTCCCGTAGTGGTGAGTGCGTCAGAATTTGCCGTAATATTTTGTTTAAAGTCTTAATTATTTGAATTTTTTCCTTGTGATTAAATTAATTGCGTTTCTTTAAGAGTTGATGAATCATGGATAAACGCAATTTGGTCAAAATTTATTTGTAAAAAAAAGATGTCAAAACCAGGGACAGCTTCAGGTTCCGCCGCCAACACTGCCAAGCGGCAATCGTAAGTATTTCCTTATCGTTTTCGTTTGTTTTATAATTTTTGACTCAGTCGAGTTGTTCGGTTTGCTTATCCGGCACTAAGCTGGCGGATGATGATACGTGTAACAAGTTACTAGAATGTTTATTTATTTCTGTTAATTTGATTTTTACAACAGGCAAATGGAGTGCACAACAGCGCACGACGTGTTGCTGTGCAGAGAAATTTTGGTACGGGAGTTTTATAAGTTCAAGAAAGGGAGTAATGAGAGAGGAAGAATATGGACGCAAATTTCCGAGAACCTAAACAGTGTAACTGCAGTCAAATTTAAAGTGAATCAAAGAGCGGTAAGAGAGCGATTTGACTTGCTACTCGGAAGATTTCGACAGCAAAGTAGAGAAGAAGAAAATGCAAGTGGTATATCTCCCGAACCAACAGAGCTCGACGCATTGTTGGAAGAGATTTCTGAAAGAGAAAAATTAGCAGAATCAACGAGAGAATCCTGTAGCAGAAGGAGTGTCGAAACAGATCGTAAAAGAGCCGAGGAGACGCGTTTCCAAGGCTTGGGGAGAGTTGGTGAAACAAAAAGAAGGGCCCACGAGGACTGTGAAACAAAAGCGAAAAGGCAACGAAGAAGCGGAGCTGATGTTGCCGAATTTCTACGGGAGAAGTCAGAAAAGGAACTTAAGATCCGCGAAGAGGAGTTCGCTTTGAAAGTAAAAGAAGTTGAAAACGAAAAAGAGAAGCAAGCACAGATGTTTAAAACCCAGGAGGCCATGATTACAAACATGGCAAAACAACAAGATCAGATGCAAACACTTCAAATGGCTTTTTTGCAGCAACAGCAACAACAGACACAGGCCATGATGGCGTTGTTAGAAAGACTTGTGAAAAAATAGTAACTAAGTTCCCTAACAGAGATTGACAATGGATTGATTTCCTCTTTCTTGGAAATTTATTGCAGCTTCAAGTTACTTATTTTCTTTGTTTGGTGTCATTTTGAATTTTCTATTTCTCAAGTAAGAGTGAATTTTGTTGGGTTGCTCACAGTTATACTTTCTTTGTATTCAACTGAAAAAAAACCCACAATTCATGTAATTCATCTCATAACAAAGACGGATTAACTCTCTTGCTTCCTTGAAGGATGACATTTTTGCCAATAAAATGACTCCACAACAACGCTTTGCGCTCTTAGCTGCCGCCGTAGTGTCGCTGTAGCTTAACGATTCGTATTTGGCGGGAAATACGCCGTACTCAC